TCCATAACATTTTAATAGTCCCATTAGATTAGGTAAGGTTAATCTGGGGTTCAAAAAATATAAAACAGCATATCAGCTGCATACGTTGCTACCTTATGTTCCACCTCTCGTATCTTAATTCCTATGATATCTATACTCTTCCTTACCATCGCCAAAAGAGGTTCCGGGGATATGACAAATAACAACAGGGATAGTGGACATTCCTGTCAAGTGCCATTATACATTTGAAAAAAATCCTGAGAGAGACCCATTAACTTTAACCGCTGCTGATGGGCTTTATAAAGCTCTTTTATCCACCTTAACATTTTGGTCCCTATTCCTAAAGCCACTAGCGTATTTATCGTAAATCCCCAGTGCACCCTGTCAAAATGTTTTTCAGCATCAATCGATAGGATAATTTTCGGCAACTTTTCTATCTTGCTTTTTGTAGAAGGAACAATGTTCTTAGACCACTGTCCCTTCCTTTCCTACCTATGATAAATCCCACTTGGTCTAGATGTATCCATTCCGGCATGGTAGATGGAACTTTTGCAAACAGTTTTGTGTCTATATTTAATAATGATATAGATCTGTAACTAGCGCATTGTGAGCCATCTTTCCCTTCTTTAAGAATAACTGTTATATATACTTGCAGTGATTCTTCTCTCATTCCCATGCCCTCTCCTAAAGCATTCATATATGTACAGAGTTTAGGGACTAATAATTCTTTACATTTCTTATAATAACTCAACGTGTACCCATCGGGTCTTGGGGTGTTTTTCTCCTGCCATATTGTTCAGGGCCATACAAATTTCATCCTGGGAAATCGCTCGTTCTAGGGACACTAACTTTTCTTCTGATATTCTCAGCAGGTCTGCTGCCTTTAAATATTCCTGCCTTGTCCCTCTTTTTTCTTCCTCTGTTGCTTTCTGATTCTTAGAATTCACATCATACAACCTGCTATAATGTTTTTGGAACATATTGGCAATTTCAGTGGTGTTGTACACCAGTTCTCCTTTTTCATCTTTAATTTTTTCAATAAAGTTCTTCGTTTTCTTTTCCTTCAGTCTTTTCATCAGGTATTTTCCTGGTCGGTTCCCCCAATGATATCTTTCCTTTGAAACCTTGTTTCCTGTTACAACAAATCCTTTAATTCTTCTCTTTTAAGTGTAATCTTTTGATGTGTCTCTATATCTTTCACTCATGATCTCTCTCTTTTTTGGTCCGTGAGGCTATCAAAATTCCCCTGATGTAATCCTTATGTGCCTCCCATATAGTAGCCACAGAAACTTCTTCTGTTTCATTCAGAAGAAAAAATTGCCCTTTTTCCTCCCTTAACCTTTTCTCTATTTCAGGATCTTGTATAAGAGTCTCATTTAATCTCTGCATGGCCCTCTTGTTCCATTCACCTCCTACCCGTAGTCTCACCATGACAGGAGCATGATCCGAGACAGAAATAACTTCTATATTAGATTCAACCATTAAGTCCAATTGTCTATGCTTGATCATTATGTAATCTAATTGTGAATATGATCTGTGCGCTATAGAGAAGACATAATCTCTTTCTCTAGGATGTTTCACTCTCCAAGTATCTATTAGTTGACTTTGTTGCATCTTTTTCACCATTCTTAATTTTTTGCTGCCTCCTCTCTATACACCCTAAGACGTTTCCATCCATGGATCTAAACAAAAATTAAAATCTCCTGCCATGATCAGACTATCCCTCTTAAAATACGTCATTTTCCCCAACACTCCTTGCAAAAATACTTCTGGATTTTGATTCGGGCAGTAAATGTTGACCAATGTATAATTTTGTCCCTGCATTTTCCCTCTTAAAAATTGACCTTCTGGGTCCACCAACTTCTCCACATCAAAAATTTTATTTTTTGAGAACCCGATCGCTACTCCTTTAGCCTTGTTTATTGGTGAACCTGTGTAGTACCAGGTTGGATAGTGCCTCGAGTATAACTTAACATTAGTATCTTATCATAAATGTGTCTCTTGTAAAAACACTACATCTATGGAATGTTGGTGAACTTCCCTAAGTATCTTATGTCTTTTAGTCTGAGAGTTTAAGCCTTTCACATTATAGGTCATAAGATTGATAAGGCTCATAACTATTTACTATTTCTCTTCTCCTCTGCATTTCCAAAAAAAGGAAAAGAAAAGGGGAACCCATCTCCCCACGCCAGAGGGGGAGGTCGGGAGTTACCACTCCCCTCCTCTCCCCCTTCCACCACATAGGTACACGGCATTTACTGGAATCATACAGCGAGTTTTAACAGCAATTGGAACTTTAATTTTGGGTTTTTCACATAATAATTCTATGGACACTATAAAGGTTTATTGTTAGTAATCTGCTGGGCCTGTGTCTCCATTTTCTCCTCTACTTCTTCTACTCTTGATAACATTCATCCCAGATTCTTATGAATCACTGCCATTTAATTTTTCATGAAAAGTTCCAATTTTGCAAACATTTCGGCCATCTCTGTTCTTGTAGGGATTTTTGATATAACTCCTTGTTGTTCCAAGACAATTTGGTCATTTACACTATCAACATTTATAGATTCACTGATCTGATTCCCTTCCTGTACTACAAGTGACAATCTAGACTGCTCACTGTCATATTTTCTACTTCCTTCCTGCTCTAGGCATTGCATCTATGGGCTTTTTTCCTGTAATGGCTTGCATTTCTTTATTGTGCTGGTATTTGCATTGGGTTGCGGGGGTTTTTACACCCCCACCTTTAGCGGGTCTCCTCTTCATGTTAGCGATGCTTAGCCACTGATTTTCTACTCAATGCTCAAAATACAATATTATCACACCTACGGAAGGCCCGTCCTCCTTGTTCTTCTCCAGTGACTTTTACAGTCCTGAATAACTTTGATAATGTAAACGTTATTAGCAACAACACTTGGCCACTGAGATCTCCCAGCTTCTTAATCTTCTGACCGCCCAGTCCCACAACTCAGGAATACATTTGCTAACAAGAGAGACAGTAGCAGGCTAAATCTCTTGCCATTGCCCATGGCAACTCACCATCACCCTCTGAGCCTGGGGTTTTGGGTCCATCCATCTCTGTGCGCTCTTCTATCCCAGTCGGAGTCCCATGTCCCAGTTTGCAGGATCACCTGAGGGAGGTCTGGGCGGGAGCTCAAGATGTCCTATGCCCTCGGGTTTCTCCTGGTCTCAGGGTCTCCCAGGGTGTGTCGCTCTTCCCAGGCCATTGGGACATCCAGATACTGGTTTAGCACATCCCCGCATGGACAGTCCCTCCTGGAGTCCCTATGTGCTTGGTCCTCTCTGGCACCTCCTCCGTCCACCTCTCTCAGCGCCCCCTGCACTCCAGAGAGCACCTCTGTTGGCTGATGCAGGAGCTCCGGGATCCCAGCCCCAGTCTGCTGCAGCTCAGTCCTTCCACCAGGACTCACTACCACTGCCGGCCGTGATGTGACCTCCGCAAATGCCGCGGACACACTGGACAGCCCCGGCCAGGACCACCAGCAAGATCCAGTAAGCTCTATGGAGTAAAATTCAGAGAGGTATAGCTCCAGGAAGTATCCATATGGAGGGCGTCGGGAGCTCCTGCACTTAGCAGTCTCCCAGCTCCATATTCAGGCCCCTCCCCCATGTCATAAAATATTGTTTCTTTGAAGTCTGTCTGGATTTATCTTTTGGTTTTGTTCCTAGCACAACACAACATTAAGGGGCATATTTATACAGCAGTGAATATGACTGTCAGGGATGCAGGTGTGACCAGAAGTGTGTGGACTGACACAGGGAAATGCAAGCTTCAGATATGGTATAAATAAGACAATTTATTAAGACTAACAATACAAACATAAATGCAGTGCACCAAACCCCAAGCTAACACAAATACATACAACAAGGTGAAACAAACCCAAACCTAAACTGATACAGATACACAGGTACATACACATATAGAGCACAACGTTGTCAGGCAGGCCGGGTCGATAACTATCGGGCAGGTAGGTACAGGAGGAGCAGGCGGAGAGAATGGTCAGGGTCACAAGCCAGGGATAAAAACAGGAGAAGTCAGCAGAGGGCAGGATCAGGCAGGGTCGGCAACAAGTCAGGCAGAGGCAGGAACAGGAACAGGAATGCAGGTTACAAGATACAGGGGCCCATGGAAAAACACACACCAAGGCCCAGACTGCAGGTCTGGCCATCCCTTAAATACACCTGCAATCAGCCCCAGGTGATGGCTAATTGCCGAAGTGAACCTCTGGTTGTTGAGAGCACCCGATGGCCAGCCCTGGTACTGCAGCCCACAAGGCAGGTGAGTCCCACCACTATTGGCAAGTCCATTCCTGACAGTACCCCCCCCTCAAGGAGCGGCCTCAGGACGCTCCAAACAGTCCTAGCTGGGCAAAATGTTCCACCGCCCGGGTCCGGTGACTGGCGGGATATCAAAGACTGGCACATCGGGCTGGGCAGCGGACGGAGGCACTTCGAACTGGACACCGGACAGAGGCACTTCGAGCTGGACACTGGACGGAGGCACGTCGGGCTTGGCACGGGACGGAGGCACTTCGGGCTGGGCGCCGGACGGAGGCACTTCGGGCTGGGCGCCGGACGGAGGCACGTCGGCCTGGGCACCGGACGGAGGCACGTCGGGCTGGGCGCCGGACGGAGGCACGTCGGGCTGGGCGCCGGACGGAGGCACGTCGGGCTGGGCGCCGGGCGGAGGCACGTCGGGCTGGGCGCCGGGCGGAGGCACGTCGGGCTGGGCGCCGGGCGGAGGCACGTCGGGCTGGGCGCCGGACGGAGGCACGTCGGGCTGGGCGCCTGACGGAGGCACGTCAGGCTGGACGCCGGATGGAGGCACGTCGGGCTGGACGCCGGATCACCAGGCATAGAAGCGGGCACCGGGCCACCAGGCGGAGCAGCGGGCACCGGGCCACCAGGCGGAGCAGCAGGCACCGGGCGACCAGGCGGGGCAGCAGGCAGGCACCGGGCCCCCAGGCGGAGCATCGGGCACCGGGCAACCAGGCAGGGCGGCAGGCACCGGGCCATCTGGCTCGACAGCGGGCATCGGGTCACCAGGTACAACAGCGGGCACCGGGTCATTAGACATTGGATCGTCTTGCTCGACCGCGGGCAGCAGGTCATCTGGCTCAACAGTGGGCATCGGGTCACTAGGCATGACAGCGGGCATCGGGTCACCAGGCATTACAGTGGGCACTGGGTCATCAGGCATTGGATCGTCTGGCAAGACTGCGGGCACCGAGTCATCTGGCAAGACCACGGGCACCGAGTCATCTGGCAAGACCCGCGGGCACCGAGTCATCTGGCAAGACCGCGGGCACCGAGTCATCTGGCAAGACCGCGGGCCCCGAGTCACCAGGCACAACAGCGGGCTCTGAGTCAACCGGCCTGACAGCAGGCACCGAGTCGTCTGGCAAGACTGCGGGCACCGAGTCGTCTGGCAAGACTGCGGGCACCGAGTCAACTGGCGGAACAGCAGGCATCGAGTCGTCTGGCAAGACTGCGGGCACCGAGTCGCCTGGAAAGACTGCAGGCACCGAGTCAACTGGCGGAACAGCGGGCATCGAGTCGTCTGGCAAGACTGCGGGCACAGAGTCGTCTGGCAAGACTGCGAGCACCGAGTCAACTGGCGGAACAGCGGGCATTGAGTCATCTGGCAAGACTACGGGCACCGAGTCGTCTGGCAAGACTGCGGGCACCGAGTCAACTGGCAGAACAGCGGGCATCGAGTCATCTGGCAAGACTGCGGGCACCGAGTCGTCTGGCAAGACTGCGGGCTCTGAGTCAATTGGCAAGACAGCGGGCACCGAGTCATCTGGCGGAACAGCGGGCATCGAGTCATCTGGCATAATAGGATCATCAGGCTGGATCAGTTCATCAGACTGGGTAGAAACATCATCCTGGGTAGAGACATCAGGCTGAATGGAGACATCAGGCTGAATAGAGACATCAGGCTGGGTAGAGGCATCAGGCTGGGTAAAGACATCAGGCTGAATTGTGGGCGCCGAGGCACCAGGCTGCACCACGGAAGGCAGGTTCTCAGATGGGAGGCTGACCGGTTTGGATACTGGCAGGATGGTATTGTTGGAAAGAACTTTCACCTTTTCCTGGTTTTAGTTACCGGAGCACTGTAAGTAAGTGCAGGTTTGTAAATGGATGGAGCAGCTGGACACAGAGAAGAGGTGGAGGATGGAACAGAGGAGGGAGCAGTTGCTACAGAGGACTTCTTTACAGGGTTGAAGAAAGGATAGGTGCAGCGAGTGGGAGCAGGGGACTGGTATGTGGTAGTTAGCAGAGTATACTGGGCCATCACTGGGGGTGCTGTCGGGATGCAGGAAGAGTGCCTTGAGCAGAGGAATTATGTTGCAAGCCAACTGAGGCTGGGTGTAACAAATCTGTCCATGTCTGCAGTACTGGTTTAACAAAACTCAGCTTACACCTAGCCTGTCTGATCAAAGACTGCACTGCGTTTATGCAATCCATAAGCACATGTGATGGACATGCTGCATAGTGCTCATGGAAACAATCTGGATCATCCTCCAACAACCATACCAGTGATTCCACTTGATCCACACTAAATGGGGGAAAAAAGTCATCCCTGCTTTCAGGGGTACAGGACCGAGCCAACTCAGCACAAACCTGGATCAATGGCTGCACCTCAGAAAACTCTGTGCCCTGATCAACTAGACAATGAGCGATCCTTATACACTCTAGCAGTTGATCCCGGGTATACTCCTTAAGAGTCTGATAAGCATAGTCTTTGTCATCAAACACTAGCAGAGATAAATACACCACCTCATCAAGATCCATCCTTCCCAGCAACAATAAGCCAAGATGGCCTCCCTGTGCAGCCACTTCTGGTCAGGTTTTTGGCCTTGGTGTAATGTCAGGGATGCAGGTGTGACCAGAAGTGTGTGGACTGACACAGGGAAACGCAAGCTTCAGATATGGTATAAATAAGACAATTTATTAAGACTAACAATACAAACATAAATGCAGTGCACCAAACCCCAAGCTAACACAATTACATACAACAAGGTGAAACAAACCCAAACCTAAACTGATACAGATACACAGGTACATACACATATAGAGCACAACGTCGTCAGGCAGGCCGGGTTGATAACTATCGGGCAGGTAGGTACAGGAGGAGCAGGCGGAGAGAATGGTCAGGGTCACAAGCCAGGGATCAAAACAGGAGAAGTCAGCAGAGGGCAGGATCAGGCAGGGTCGGCAACAAGTCAGGCAGAGGCAGGAACAGGAACAGGAATGCAGGTTACAAGATACAGGGGCCCATGGAAAAACACACACCAAGGCCCAGACTGCAGGTCTGGCCATCCCTTACACCTGCAATCAGCCCCAGGTGATGGCTAATTGCCGAAGTGAACCTCTGGTTGTTGAGAGCACCTGCTGGCCAGCCCTGGTACTGCAGCCCACAAGGCAGGTGAGTCCCACCACTATTGGCAAGTCCATTCCTGACAATGACATTCATCAGACATTCTCTAGTGATGGATCAACCATTGTCTATTAAGAGAAATTGCAAATGTAATAGTCACCTTCAGTGAATGTTTGGTGAATGTCAGATTCACTGCTTTGTAAATATGCCCCTTAATGTTATGTAAAGTAAAAAAAAAAGTAAAAAGTCAAATAGTCATCATTGTACCTTGGCACATATACAGGAGTTGATAGGTTAGGAAGGGACAGGATCAGAGTACACAATATTATGGCATCACTAGGCGATTGTTGAGAAACGGTTTTCTTTTTTTTTTTTTTTTTTCCAGCAAAGAAGATTTTTTTTCCCACCTGTGAACAGTTTAAAAACATTATTTATTTAATGGAGTTATGCGAGTTATGTTGTGTATCAACATAACTCACATAACTCCATATAAGTTTGCATATGTTACCGCCTTATTGGCCAGGCTGTGAAGGCTGCTAGTGTACACTAGAAAATGTTCTCCATACTTGTAATTTGAATATTTGCAGAATGTTTATATGCAGATTTATATTTTTGATAACATGAACCTTAACAATCACTTTGGTACAGTCACTCCTCAGACTGATCTTTGGAAAGAAGCCTCACTTTTGGTTAGCGATACCGAATATCGGGACCCAAATGATTGTTAGCACCCTTCTCACAACTACCACCGTGCTTGGCCATTCCGCATGATCTGGTGAGCATCACTGACACAGGCACTGACCAGGGCTCCCCACTGCTTACTTGATCCCACATTTACCCGCCTACTCTTGGGGAATGCGTCTATCCTATACCGGGATCTTAGAAGCAGGTACCACTAGCATGGGGCGGAGTACGCGCTGATGAGCCAGGGGGATGACAAGGATTGGCTCACCTAGGGGCTTCAGGGTGGCGACATCTCCCCCCCCCCTCCCTAGCAATCATAAACTACTAAGAGTGAATCTCCTTCCATTCTTGCTAACCGATATTCAGATAGTGAGACATAGTACAAAATGTGCTTACAATGTGTTTGAAATGCTGTTTTATACTAATGTGAATGTTCATCTCTATGCTTTGGTGATACACAACTTCACTATACTATCTCACAGTGATTTATATACACGTTGATGGCCTTTTAGGGAACGTTCTACTGGTACATTGATTCCTCCCATTTCTTCTACCATCCCCATTGTTGAGTAGACTAATTGGGATACTGCACGTCATCCATCCACAACATGAATAATCCCCATACTTTTGATTTTCCCATAACCATATATGCTCTCCCTACAGCATCGTGATGCTTTTCTCGTTCCTCCGTTGCCCATCTGTCTGATCCCAATACACTCATAATTGTTTGCACTCACATACAAAACAGGTGCTAAGCCGTTGTCTTTGGGACTCACTCACAACCCCACACAGTGGAATCCCCAGAGTCCAACTGACCCTGTCCACACCAGGGCACAGATAGTAAAACAAAACAACAACAAAAACAATAACAAAAATAAAAGAAAACAACTAAGGATGGAGTAGCTGGACTACCCTGTCGCCGGATTTTCTGAACAGTTACCCTGTACGACTGAGTTGAGGTGCTTATTAGCCCTCTTCTCTATCCCTTTCCCATTTTCCTATCTCTGCCCCCTCCCTGTATCTCCCTCACCTTTTTCCCCCACCTCTTCCCTCCGCCTCCCACTTACCCCCCCCCCTTTTTTTTTTTCTGCAACTCTCTGAAGTGTCGCTCTAAATATCTGACTGTGTTTCCCCTGTTTATTAGTTACTTTCCCCAGTGATAGACAGGACATACGGACGCTCCCTCCGTACATAGGAGACAATGCCTTCCACAACCTTGCATGTTCTCATACGCTTTCAGTGGCATCTCTAAATGCTAGAGGTCTAAATCTGCCTGAAAAACGCTCACAACTATTGACTTCTATGAAAAGTTTATGAACAGATGTGCTCTTTATTCAGGAAACTCACTTCCGCGCTGACCATGTCCCTAAATTTTCCAAGGCAATGTACCCAACAGTATACCATGCAGTGAAAGCAAAAGGTGTATCCATTTTAATTTCTAAGACTCCCACTTAAGATTACTGATTCTCTTGAGGACTCAGAGGGTCGGCTCCTCTTCCTTAAAGGTCTCCTCCATAACAGGCCGATCACATTAGCCAACATATACAGCCCCAATACGGCGCAAGTCAGCTTCTTCCGTAAAATTGCGAAAGCATTAACAACTTTCCAATCGGGCATTCTGATTTTGGGTGGTGACTTTAATGTGGCATTAAACCCCTTGGAAGACACCTCGACGGGTACATCTTCAAAAACATTTCGAGCACTTAAACAGATCAAACTGGAACTTACAGACCTCCTCCTGCTTGACACATGGTGTACCTTACACCTGTCTGATAAAGATTTCACATTCTTTTCTACACCTCATAATCGCTATTCTAGAATTGATTATCTCTTTCTCTCGCAAAAAGATCTCCCTACCTTGAAGTCAGCCTCCAATGATCCTTTCCAACCACCACCCCATTACTATGACCATATATCTCCCAGATGCCCCAATCACTTCCAAAACTTGGCTACTTGACCTGTTTCTTCTTACAGACTCATCCGTGACTCTCCAAATTCGTGAGTGTCTACTTTCGGGAACGTATATCCCCAGAAATTACCCCACTCACCCAATGGGAAGCACAATAATGTGCGACACATAGGCTTCTACTTGCAATTGCTGTCTCTCGAAAGCGTGCGGCACTGACATCTTTCAACTCGTTACTCCAGAAAGTACGTCAACTAGAATGTTCCCATAAACGTAAACATGCTTTTACAATTACTGCCGAACTGGTATCTGTGCATAAACAACTACTGGAAGAAGTGGAAAGGAAAACCAAGCATAACTTTGCTATATCTCAGAAACTGTTCTACGAACATGGGAATAAAA